TCGAAAGCTTATCAAGCTACTCGATATATATATATATCTGCAGCTACAGTTTTTCAATCAAGACGAGCTCGAGCTTTCGAGTCACACCAGGCAGGCTCGATTACATTGATTAAGGAACATCGAAACATAGCCTAATCGATGTAGAGACAACACTACAAACCTAATTAACAAGAATAAGCTTGTTATTTCCTTAATTAATTAGTAAAGAGTTGGTAATCCTCAATTATGAGATAAGTATCTTTCCCTTGATACACTATAGAAGCTTCATTAATTAATAATAATTATAATGATTAGGTGGCTTTTGATTAGTAAACCAAACACCCACTTTGGCATCTGGCAAATTAGTCAAAATTAACAGCTTTCTTTGGAGTTATTAAGTGATTTGATTGACTTGATCTTGTTTTTTATTTCCTTCTATGAATTATATTTGTTCATATGAACTGTATACCAAACTCTTTATTTATACACTGATCTTAGATCATTTTTATTTTTTATTTTTAATTAATATATTTATTCAATGTGTTTTCTAACTATTTTTTATCTACAAATTAAGCTGTTTTTTAAAATAATTAAAATAATTTCGAACCATTTTAAATATTTTTAAAGAAAATCTCCGTCGTCATCGCCACTTATCAGCCTTTGCTACCGCCCACGAACACTGATGCCGTTATACGCAACTACGGTGAAGCTATATTCGAAGTCTTAGAACTTTTTGTTATGGATTTAGGGTAAGATAAGTATAATATATAAATAATCAATAAAAATATATATTATATTAATATCAAATTAATCTATAATTAAAAATTCATTATATTTAAAAACTTAATGAGAAATATTATAATATGTTTTTTCTATGATAAATTTAATTTAAGCAAATATTAATCACACCAACTTTTCTTAAAGTGGGCCCAAACACTAATGATTATTTGGAGTTTTCTATCAATTTTTATATGCTATTAAGAAAATAATTATTCATATTATAAAAAATCATAAATATCTTAATATTTAATTATAAAGTTTTTAATAAATATTACTATTATTATTTATTATCTATAAATTAAAATTAAATAATATCACATATCTTAAAAAATAAAAATATCAAATATTATTTGTGGAGCCCACTTTACATTCACATAATTGGGGTTTCCTATTTATGCGAAAAATATTTTGGGTCAACACGGGCCGGCCGCGCTGACCAAGCCGAGCTGCCGAGTGGTTGGCACTGACAAGTTTGACCCGCTTAAAATTTCAAACCAAAATGGCGCAACGGCAGACCGGCCGGCCCAACCTTTCCTTGTCGGGTTCATCCGCCGAAAATTCCGGTTCAGCATGGATATTTTCATTAAGGTCCACTTTATTTTTTTATTGCTGATTTCAACCCTTACACCGATTCCGTGCGCTCAGATAGAGCAGGTCCCTCTCTCTCTCTCGCTCTCTCTCTCTCTCTCTCTCTCTCTCTAATCTCAGTTGCCTCTCCAACCTTCGAAGATCTTTTCCCAGCTGAGAAATTTCCAAGACGCAACTCTCGCCCTCCGCATTTTGCAGCCGTCGATTTGATACAATGAGAGGCTCTTTGATCAGAGGAGCATTCCAATGAGCTGTGAACCCGTGAGATCTCCTTTGACTACATCAACATCTACAGTTTGAGGTTGGCGGGGATCTCGCAGCATTTGTTAGATCTTTGATTTCTACTTTTTATTGGGTGGATTATAAAGCAAAGAGATAAATCAACCATATATTGTTGTGATTTTTGATAGATTTTATTGGTTTGAGCTTTGGCCATAATTTCTGAGCTCTTTCCCGGCAGCGGCGGCAAAATAGAACTGATTTGGAAAGTTTTTCAAGTTGGGAGGTACTGATCAAGACTTGAAGTGATGTTACGGGAGGGAAATGTCTTTTTTCGTTCTTAATATTGAAGACTTTTGTTGATGGAGCAGGTTAGCATTCCCAGGCTTTGTGATTCAATCATTATTGCGGTAGTTTGATTCGGTTTAGTGATTCTTCTTTATTTATTGTTAATTAGGAGCTAGGACGCTTTTAAGGCTATCTTTTCCCGTTTTGTTGATAATGATGTTCGATAATATCTCTCACTTTTCATGAATACTTATCTTCTGTAGATGTAATGTTCTCATTATCTTCTGTAGATTATCTCTCACGTCTAATGTTCTCATGAATTCTTTATTTGTTGGCTGAACTACAGATGTTCTTTAGATTCCGTGTTCTTCATCAGTGCTGATTGGTACTGTAAGGTGGTTGTAATGGTGCTGGAGCTAGCGTTATCACAGTATGGAAACTTGTTATATTGTTATTCGAGGACTTAAGTGCTTTAATTAAGAAAATGACATCATTTAGAAGAAGCACTTCGATTGTGCATCGAGATGGGTCTGTACCCAGCGATGATGAAACCTTGGATACTTCCCCTTCTCCCAAGCCATCTCATACAAGGACCTACTTGATCTTGGGAAGATTACTGAATTCGTTGCTGAGTTCATTGGATTTTCTTACGGAGTCTGATAGAGTTATAACAGCTGTTCATAATGTTTTTTTCCAGAGATCTTCTCGACCAGTGGAAAGGTCAAAAGCCAAAGGTTTATTCATGAAAGGTGCAGTCTTCAGGTTTTTTATCTGTTTTGTGGTAGGGATATTTATTGGTTTTACCCCAATTCCCATGGTTGACATATCCAAGAATAGTTTTTCCAGACATAGGGCCTTTTCTTTCCATGAGGAGCCAGTGATTAGAAATTTTCAGAAGGGTAAAAATTCTGTGGGCAATGATATTTTAACTACTCAGAAAAGTTTCCTGAGAGAAGACATCAATACAGGGGCTTCAACCAAATTGGAGTTGACAAGTAATAGTCTGAATTTGTCCTCCAGTCTGTCTTCAACTCATGATTTCACACTAGTTTCTCGCAAGCTTTTGATAATTGTAACGGCTACATATGATCGGTCGTTTCAGTCATTTCATCTAAACCGTTTGGCCCAAACATTGAGAAATGTGCCACATCCTCTTCTATGGATTGTTGTGGAAATGTCATTGCAATCTGCTGAAACAGCAAAAATATTGAGAGATACAGGAGTCATGTACAGACATCTTGTTTGTGATCAGAATGTGACCAGCGTGAAAGACAAAGGCATCCAACAAAGAAATGTTGCACTTTCTCATATTGAAAAACATCAGCTTGATGGTATTGTGCTTTTTGCTGATGATGACAAGATATATTCACTTGAGCTCTTTGATGAAATGCAGGAAATCAGGTATTTATTTTTATTTTGGAAAAGCTGGGATTTCATTTAGTGCTTTTTTTTTAATGTTTGGGTACTTGGTTAATAGTTTTCATTTTTTTCCTTAACTTTTTAATTTAGATAGAGAGTTTTTGTTTGAATTTGCCTTTCTTGGTACTAGCCTCAATAAAAGGGTTGGTTATTCCCTGCTAAGTGATTGCTTATTTACTAGCAATCATAAATGTTACTCTATTAGATACTGAAAATTTCTAGGCTTGACAATTTGGTTAGATGTAATATTAATTCACTATAAATGTTAAACTTCGTGAATACATGATTTTCATTTTCACATGCATAATGATTAAAAAGGAAACCACAATGATGTTAATGATATAGATCACTATACAAAGCAAATTCTTGAGAATGCTTATCGAGGTTTGACGAGCTTAAATCTTCCTCTGACAAAGTTAAATTGTAATATTCCCCAATGACATCACCGGCTTATCATCTGAAGTCAAGCCTCTTTTACATGGGCAAATGTACTTCTCCTGAGCTTCATCAAGATTTTTGTGATATACAATTAAATACATGAGTTTTGGTCAGATTATGGTTTCATTATTGCTGTTCACTTTGATAGTGATGTTGCCAATGCTGATATTCATTTATACTCCATTCGGAAATTTATGGGATTTGACATTTAAGATTCTTGAGATGTTAGCAATGCCTTAGTCTACTGTTTTCTTGAATATTTTGCAGTATTTATGTTGTATTGAAAATAAGTTTGACATTACTATTTCCAGTTTTTTCAATTTTGTTTTTGTTTAGGTGTAAATCTATATTTTTTATTTGTTTTCATTGAGCATGGATTTCCCTTGATATTTTGTCTTGAGAATCAAGCATAAAATAGTTGTCTTTAAAAAAGAGGCATGCAGAAAGAACATAGCAAAACACATTTATTGATGATGTCATCTCTTGCAAATGACCACACATTAATAGAGGTTAAATTGAATTAATATGATGGATCTGGTAGTACCACAACCTATGAAATGCAGTGCATGTTGCTTAGCAAATAAAGCAAAAGTCAATATTCTTGAAAAATCCTGAGTAACCCCAAAGAAATCTCTGATCTTTCATTTAAATAAACTTGTCGAGAGTTGAGAAAAAAAAAATCCGACCAAAACCATTTCAACCCAAAATATAATTTGCAAAGTAAACTTTTTACTTCTCGAAAGCCAAATATATGAAGTCTCCTGTTATTTATTTATTTGTTTATTTTTTTGCATTGAACAGTTTCATGCAATAATTGTTTAGTTTTATTCTAAATTTAATGTTTCCTTACGTTTTCTTTGAAACAATAAGTTACCATGCGTGAAACAATAAGTTACCATGCGTTCATGAAAACAAATTTAGTCATGCTCTTGAAACTTTTGATTTGCTTTTTTGGAGCTTTATTCTGAGATTGGATTGATTTGATTTTGTGTTAACTGTTCCCAACGCTGAATTAGTGAGAGATTACAAGATTCATTTTATACTATAACTTATGGCCATTGAATGGGAGAAAATGGATTAGATGGAGGCTAACACAAATATGAAATTTCCCTTTTTGCATTCTTTTGCCTTATGTGATTCATTTTGCTGCTTTTATATTTTATTATGTCTCGAATTCTCCATGCATCATCCATGTAAATTCTCCACCTGCTATTATGATTATTATTTTTCATTTTGGTTATTGCGCTATTGTTCTCAAAATCAATTTGGATTCATGCCGGTCATAGCCGGGTAGGTCGACTATGGAAGCCATACTTTATAAAGAGGTTTGATGGTAGTATATAGAGAAAATTAAGGAGGATCTACATATGAATATTTATTGGATTTAGAAAAAGCCTTATGTGCTCCTTTAAAAGTCAAAATTTTCGTTTAAATCTAATAAAGAAAGGTCATTTCCCTAATATTTTTATAACCAAGTCTTTTTAGGTTCTATCCCCTACCTTTCTTACATAAGTTCCCAAATTCTAATACTCTACTCTCCTAATCGGTGTCATTCGGAAGGCCGCCGTTTTATCTGACCAAACCATCTAAGGCGACTCTTCTAATCTTATCTTCTACTGGAGCTAACTCCACGCTTTTACGTATATGCTCATTTCGTATTCTTATCTCTAGGGTAAAGCCACTCATCGCACCTGAGCATCCTCCATCTCTGCCACCACTTAACTTAGTATTATGCTTCTCTTTTAATGGCCAAAACATTCGGCACAATAAAAGCATTGCAGGCTCACTAAACCATCTTATAGATTTTTCCTTTAAGTTTTGAGGTACATTTCTATTCACATAAACAAGCCCGATGCATTCCCTGCCACTTCCAACCGTCCAACTTGATTCTGCTGATAATATCCTATTCTATTTCACCCATCACTCTGAACAATAGATCCAAGATATCTAAAACGTGTACTCTTATTAATGACTTGATTTCCCAAAGTCACATCCTCTCACTATGTCTATTACTACTAAATTAACTCCATACATATTCGTTTTAGACTACTTCAAGCGAAAAACCTTTTAAACTCTAAAGTTGACCATATACATAAATCAAGTTTTACCTTCAACCTCCCTTCTCTAGTCTTGATCAAACAAGAGAATACTCATCAGTAAAAAGCATACACCAGAGGTACATCCTCTTGGCAAATGTCTAAGTGAGAACATCCATAATAAAGCAAAAAGATACGGGCTTTAAGGCTTTTCCTTGATGTAACGCCAACCGAAATACTGGAAATACTTGGTCAATCCACCTTGTGTGTGAACACAAGTAATAGCTCCTGCCATACATATCTTTAATGAATTGAATATAAGCATTATTGACTTTCTCTTTTTTCAAAACTTCCCATAGCACTTCTTTTGGAACTTTATCATCATGCTTTTTCTAAATCAATAAATATCATATGTAGATCCTCCTTATTTTATCTAATTATTTTTCCATCAAATCTCTTAATAATGTATTGACTTCCATAGTAGACCTAGGCATTGAAATCCAAATTGATTTTGAGAAACATTAGTATCTCGTCCGACTTCTCTCATCCAAAATCGCCGCCTCCCTCTTTCGTTTCCAAACGATAGCCAACTGACTTATCCTGTCTTCAGTCGGAACGCACACAACACAAACCTCTGAGTGCGATCTGTCCCCATGGCAGCTTCCACATCAAACGCCCTCCAACATCGATCTGGCCTTGCCTGAGACCCCTCCAAGCTCTTCGCACTCCCCACCCGTCGTTAAGGCTCTCCACAAGACCGGCCTTCCACTGTAACTTGCTGTGCGACTGTTGACAATCGTGGGAACGTGCTACAATCGATTCAAAATCACCAGCCGACCTCCTACCTTCAACAGCCAATATACCTCAGCCGGAGTACCTGATGCTTGATCTGTCCTCTTTCACACTGCTACAACTGAACCCCAGCCATTTAATACTCATCTCTTTTCATTTGCTTCGCAGCCCACGAAGCCTGATCGCGAGACTCTACTGCTTTGCCCGACATCCAAAAGTCCTCTCCTGCTCTTGCCATTGCTTCACACTACAATTCAAATCGGCCGAATCCATGGCAAGGCAAGCTTGTCTGACCGCAATTTCATCTACTGGACACTCTCTCACTACAGCACTGCCATTAAAATATCAAAAACAGGCCCTCAGCAAACCTCCTGCCACTTCTCCCCACAACTAGTAGGCCTAACTTAGACCTTCCAATAAAACAGCCCATTTCACTCACACATTAACAATGCCACTCCACCTCATTTGACATCTCAACTCAACCAAAAATCAAAAGCTGTGAGATTTGTTTTTGTTATGTCTTGTTTACACCCCTTTTTTAGTGTTTGTTAGTATTGCCTAAGCAATTAACACAATTAATATTTATTAATCAATTAATATTATATTGTTAAGATGTCATTACATTATATATATAATATATATATATAGACTAATATATATATATATATATATATCTAATATATATATATAATATTATATATATTATATATATATATATATATACAACACACACACACCACAAAAAAAAAATAAGATATAAGAGAATTTTAAAAAAGAGGAAAAGTTGAGAAATAAAAGAGAGAAAAAATAGAAAAGAAAATAGATTGATTTTTTGCCAAATCGATGTTGCCGTCATCGGGCTGCGGGCGTTCACACAAGTATTAATACCTAATCTCAAAAACCTCCAAAGTCTCATTCTCGGCGTTTACGATGTGCCGGGGCGACCGCTTATGTTATGCTTTTTCTTAGCATGGTGGGAGAAAAATCTCAACGTGACACTTTACACCGAAGGCGGACGAACCTCGTGCGCCACTTTTTCTTAGCACGACATTGAAAAAAATTAAGCGTCTCATACGTGCCTCATGCCGACGCGGAAACAAACTGTGTTTGCAAACATGTACTCTCGAAAACCCATAGCACGCCTTTCTTGGTATGATGGGATTGAAACATTACAACGGGTGTCACTTGACACAGACTGTGCACGCCTTTTTGTGTGGCGGGCACAAGGCTAAGACCCTTCCTGTAGTTTTTCCTAATAGGGGGAGACGTTTAGGGAAGGCTACCGATAATTCAGAGCAACAAGGAATCTAGTTTTGAATGAAGAAAGAAATAGGGGAACTTTGTAAATTTACCGAATGAACGCCAGTTAACTTGCATAATTTTGGACTTAAATCTGCACATTGAACGCACAAAGAACTTAAACTTGAAAATGGAATGTAGGGAACAAACTTTTAATTTAATAAATTTGGGGCCGCGCATAATGCCAATATAATGCAAACGTTAAGTAATAATCCAAATTATTTTTTAATGAACACCCAATAAGCAAATGGAGACTTGTGAAAGAATCGTCACGCATGTTGCAAAACCCATATGCGAGCACCTAATGAATATTTGCCAAACATTATTACTTACAAGCAATGGTGAAATTATCGAGATACGCGACTTAAAACATCATGACGGTGGAACCCTTTGGACAACGACGACTCATTTAAAATG